TGATGACATTCCTGGTCTCCAACAGCCTGAAAACTAGTCGCAAGGATCCTTTGCGCAGTAGATTGAGCTTGACAATTTTTACCTGTGGCGCATCCTTTGTGTCCACTGGGATCACCTGCATTCCTACTGACCTGAATGCTCTGCAAACAGTTCGATGAACAGAGCTTCCTCGACAGGTATGGCTGTTTTGCCTTCAACGGGCTCCTGGGCACTGCTTTCATTTGTGGGTGTGCTCTGCAAATTTGGTGCAACATTATTAGTGCCTTGACTGACGGAGTCGCCCTGAACTATACCCCGCTGGCCTGAGTCTACCTGACCCTGGTCTCCTGATTCCTGTGACAAAGCTGGCTGCAAACTTGCGCTCGAGCTGAGGTCGTTACCTTGTGCGCACAATGCGCTGCCCTCAGTCTGGGGGTCTGACACGCGAAAACTGGGCGCATCGCCCAACGCAGGAACTGGAGAAATGACATGGCCCTGAGCTGACTCACTACACTGACGCTGAGCTGGCTGAACAGATGCACTGAGTGAAGCACCAGCCCAGGAATCGTGCACGGTAACCTGCTGCTGGGGCATTGCCCTAGCACAGGAAGCTGAGTCGACCTTAGAAGGGACTGCGGGCGTCTGAGTGCCTGAGTGAGTGGGGCCGGGGCTCTCTTGGTCACTCCGCCCCGAATCCTATTTGTCACATCCACTGGCAGAATGCCCTCCATGACATTTCACGCAGACATGGAGTCCTTTGCGACATGCCTGGCCAAGCGGTGTGTCCCATGTCTCCAATTGGCACCCGTGAGGGAGACTATAATCGAAACATATCGGTTCCCCGTTCATGTTAGGGTCCATGCCCTTGAGTGCCGCTGGAACATTTGTCTGCACCTTAGTGAAACCCTTGCCCTTGCCCTTGTTTTTGCCTTTGCCCTTGCCCTTGCCTTTGTCTGTCCTGGCTTTTCCTTTGCCATCCTGAATGGCTGACCAAGGACGCTTAAGCCCTAACTGCAAGGCTGCCGCTTTATCAGGCTTGGGCGGCAAAGGCATGGGGCGCAGGTGGAACAGAACCTGGGCTGAGTCCTTAACAATCTTGATGGCATCATCAACTGGGGTCGTGCCTAGCGTACCTGCGAACTGATGGCGAACGACTTCACTGACGCGCACCCAGACCTCACGATCAGCCCTGAAGAGCTGATCTAGCGTCGGAGCCTGGTAGCCTGGAGGGGGCTGCCTGTGAATGTGCGCTAGAAGGCTCCTGGAGTACGCCTCATGTTCTTGGAAAGAGCACACACCGGCCATCTCTAGCGCCACTCCGCGCCTCGTCAACGCCTAGGACACCCTGAGCTCGGAACTCACATCCACTTTAAGCGGTTGTGCCTTGCTGGCCAACTTGAGGGCCGCATGCTCAAGGCGCAAGAGGTGTTCTTCCTTCCTCCCTGATGCAACCTCTTGTTCCCTAGAGGCACACTTACTGGGAGGAATGTATGTGATGCATTGGGCCGACGCCATACTCGAACATGAGTCGACCAAAGCATGAGCTGGTTCATACGGCCCTGACAAGAGGAAACTTCCTAACTTGGCCTGTGTAGCGTTGAATCTGGAGTCCCTTTCCTGAGGCGTGAGGCGTTTGACTCCTTCAACACCTGGCGAGCTGATGGCATCCTTTAACTCAGCGACCACAAAAGTGCCTGCCTCGAACACTAACCTTTTAAGGGCACTCTTGCCTGATTCATTCAGGTTGGGGTTGCAAGCACTGATGAGGTCATTCAGCTTGCCATCATCTACCTGACTTGGCCCTGAAGCCACCCTGAAGAGAAGCTGACCATAGGTAGAAATGCCTCGCTGAACCAGATCATCAATGTTGGCTTGGGCCAAGCCATAACGCTTGCAACGCTCAGCAAAGGTCACGGACGAGTCAGAGATCCCGGACATGTCTCCTGCAACTGATGTGTTGAACTCATGCACCGGCTGAAATGCATGCGCCGTCCTTCCTGCTGCTCCCTGACGCTGCACTGTTCCACCTGGCCGAGCTCAAGCTGGGCTATTTGCGGACCAGCACTGGGCCAACCTCGCTGCTTCCTGCAGACACGAGCCGACCTGCCAGTGCGATTATGGCTCCATCTCAAGACGGGCCGCGCTGCTGTCCTGCTGCACGGCAGGCTGAGCAGAAGGTTGGACCTGGCGCGGCTCAAGCCACAGCAAGGCTGCTGCAACCAACTGCATTGGGGGAGGCTCAAGCCTCCTCAGTCGGCAGGGGGGGTGCCAGTGCCACAAGGCTAGTGCAGCTTAACTTTCTACCTGGGCTGAGCTTGCCACACCCAAGCGTGGTCTTGTCTGACCTGGCATTGCCAGGT